TTTTTTTTTTTTTTTAATATTATTAGTACACTTGTTGTAAATATGAATTCTGACTCGAAAACTGAAAAAATCCGAACGTATATACCAATGGGTTTGACATTTTTTTTTGAAAGCCTCCGTAATATAATGTTTACTCCCAAGCTAATTAATTTAAGCTAAACTGCAAAATCACACACACATTTTAAATTCCACATACACAAGATCCGAAAATCGACAGGTGTACTGCATATTGTACCGGAAGCGCCGAATTAACAGCGCTAACTGAATCTCTGCAACTGCAGTATATATATATACAGGTAATCCCTGATCGCGGAGGCGCCGTTCTAGCCGATCGTTGATAAAAAAAACCGATTTCCTGATCGACATTTGGGTGTTTTCCGCAATCGTCACCAGCAAGTAATTTAAGGTTGCGCTCTACGTTACCGTCAGGTCGGTAAGTCAACTACCTTGAATTAAACTGGCGCTTTATTCCGTAATCTGGCCAGTTAAAACAGCAGACGACGTGAAAGTCGAGAAAAAAGTGCGTTGAAGATTTCATCGCTGTTGACTGTCGTCTGCTATTTTAACTGGCCAGATTACAGAACAGAGCGCCAGTTAATTCAAGGTATAGTTGGCTTACCGACTTGACGGTAACGTAAAGCGCAACCCACTATTACTTATTGCTGGTGACGATTGCGGAAAATACCCGTTACTTCCGCAACCTCGTCGGGGAATTCCCTTGTTCGCTGTAGGTATAATGACATACTCACACATCAGTTGATGAGAAAAAAAAAACAAAAAAATCCGACCTGTCCGACCATCAATCAAAAGCGACAACGCGCAAAAATGACAAAAGACGCAGAAAGTAAAAAAGAGTTTTAAAAAACCAGTGCTCTGCTGCTGACAGTATGCTATGGCAAGTGGCAAATGTGTATATTTGTGTGTCCTATATGCATATATTCTCAGTGTTCTCAGTACAGTGAGTAGAATAGTAGAAGCAATTGTACGCGTTCGGTCTTCGGTCAGTTGGGTGTAATTGCAGTAGTTGCACGCCCGTCCCGTGTTGGTATGGGTAAAAAAAAAAAAAACAGAGAGCGAGGCAGCGAGCGAGAGAGCAGGGCGTGACGAACGTCATTCCTTCTCGTAATACACAGTACTTATAAAAAGTACAAGAACTTGCATTACAGCTCGCAATAGTGTGCATCTTAAGGAGCTCAATCATCACCATCATCATCTCGTCATACACTCTCTCGATATCGTCGTGTACGTATGTACGTTACATGCACTCTTAGGTACGCCTGTTGATCGTCCAACCGATTTATTTTATCATTCTAATCATATCGTGTGTGCGCGTTTGTAGTCCTATCGCATGAGGTAATTGTCATTGGGGTGCGCTAACAGGTGTGGCGGGAGTAAGTTGATAAAACAACAGGAATATTGACTTATCTCTGGCATTCTTGTGAGATGCTGTGGGATCCGAACAACTGCAGTGCAGCGGATGAAATATATTCACTTGAAAGCTAAGTAGCAAACACGTACACGTACGTCTCCAAAATCAAGTGTAGTGATGAGGAGTGCCGCGCCTTCAGCACCATCAGCATCAGGATCGCGGCATTGTTATTTATGTGCGAGTCATGCAGCAGAGCACGACGAGGGGAACGACAAGCGAGCGCGTCAGACTGCGGGTACTCTATGACTTTGAGTACGAGACCCGGGGCAAACGGGTGCGCATAATAAAGGACGAGCGGCTGGTACTCCTCCACAAGACTAACGACGACTGGTGGCAGGTCGTCAGGCCAGCCGATCTAGTCGGCAGCAGCAACTTCTTCGTGCCCGAGCAGATCACCTTTTACGTGCCCACGGGCTACGTCGTCGAGGCACCTCCGGAGGATATCCTACCGGAGAGCACGAGGTTTTACGTCGACAAGGACAAGATGTTTAGCAAGTCCCCGCCTACCTCCTCCTCCACTGTCTTGCCGAATGACCAGCAACAACAACAACACCATGGGACTGTCAGTAGCAGCTGTAGCAGCAGTAGCAACAACAGCAGTATAAGTGGCGGTAATGCAACTACAGCCCAGCAACATTCCAGCAGCGATGAGCCCAACAAGGAGCCAAGCAGCAGCAGTACGAGGAAGGCCCACGACTCCTTCAGGAGCGTCATGAAAAAGTTGTCCGGCAACCTGACCGGCTCCTCCCACGGTAGCGACGTCAACAAGTCCAAGCCTCCAAAGGTTGTCAAAAGCCAGAGAAAGAAGTCGGTGGACAACAGCACCGAGGAGACTTCCAGTAGCACGACGTCGAGCGGTGGAGTTGCGGGTGGAAGGTCGATTTTAGGGGCCCTCGTGCCCTCAGCCAAGCACAAGGACGGCTCTGCTTTCGGCATGTGCTTCGGCAGGGACATGAAAAACACGGCGGCTGACGCGCAGCTGCTCAATCCTTTTCAAGAGGAATTGGCAAACAAAGTGATTTTGAAAAAAACTATCGTCTTAGACGCTAAGGTAGATAATACAGTAGGCAATAACAACAACAATAACAATAACAACAGCAGTAGTAGTAGTAGTAGTGGTAAACACGTGGACCAAGTGGAGGAGACGGAGCAGAGCTCCAGCTTCGAGAACATACATAGCAAGTGGGAGAAGGTCTCGGGACACATTTTTAAAAACAAACTTCACCCCGAGATCGTGCCCAAGAGACCCAATGCTGCTACTGCTGACAGTAACTTTCAGTTTGTGTCGTTGGCGAAAATCAAAGAGGACGCGCAAAAGAGGCGGAGCGCCTCGCCGAATTTACAAGGGAGTACAAACAGTAGTAGTAGTAGTAATAATAATAACAGTAATACTAATAGTAATAATAGTAATAATAATAATGCCGTGGAAGTTAAACAACAGTCTGTGACGACGGTAATCGGGAGCGTCGTCGACAGTAAGGGTCCAAGAAAGCTTTCACGGTCTTTGCCCGACCAAAAGTCCACAAGTGCCCTCGGTAAATCCGTAGCTGCAGTTGTACGCGCTGCAGACACGGGCGAACCGGAAAAATCACCCTGTGCCGATAAACCTGTAGATAATGCACCAGCAACAGTACCCGAAAAACCTGTTCCCAGTAAGGATCAGGATAAAGAGTCACCGTCCAAGGATAAAGACCGGCTCTTGATAAACGACAAGAGAAAAATGTGGGCCATAGAGACCCTCATGTCGGAATTGATGCAGTCGTCGTCCTCGAACTCCAAGGCCGCAGCAAGGAACGGGAGCGACGAGGAGAAGGGGGTCTCCGGACCCTGCCAACTGGCCCAGGAATTGCACGAAATGAATAACTCGCGGCGCTTCGAGAACGCCGAGATACAAGTAAATCTCTTGGACCCAGAGCTAGAATCGCAGAGTCACAACAACAACAACAACAACAACAACAACAACAACAACAACAACAACAACAACAACAACATCGACAAGGACGAACAGCAAAGTACCAAAGACAACGAGCACCACACGGCAGTAAACGCGTACAAACGCAACAAGGTGTTTCACTTTCCGCCGCCACCGCGCTCTAGTATGATCAAAGCTCCGAAGAGCCCGACCGCGAGGTCGCCTAAGCTGCTGGACGAGTACAACGAGGCAAACATCCTCAACGACAACGAGAAAACGTCCCGGAGTCAGCAGCAGCAGCAGCAGCAGCAACGTCACCGACACCAGCAGACGGACGAGGAGCCACCCTCGTACTCCAACATCTCGCTGCGCGTGAGGCGCGACCGGGTGCCCTGTGCCCTCAAGATGCCGAGCAAGGACTTTCGGGAGAAGATACAGCTTACTCCGTCCCTCGAGAAGCTCGCCAGCGAGATCAAGTTCCTGCCGGCCAACGCCGCCGCCGACGCCGAGAGACAACAGTCCGGTCTGGATTTGGGCAAGTTTACCTTTTTATTCGCCCCTCCTTGGCTTTTCCCAAAAGCTCGATCGAAGAGTTAACAAAAGAAAATACTCCAGAGAAGCAGTTTGCATTAAAAAACCACGGCACGTAGAAAATACGTGTCGCGCGCGAGATAAGAGCCGCCGCTTTATTTATAAACGATCCGCGCGGCTCATTAAATTTTTCACTCGATCGACTAATCTCTTGTGCCCCAGATGTAGCAATAATATTGGTGATGAAAAAAAAAAAAAAAAAAAAAAGTTAAACTCGCACATACTAACGATGTTTCTAAGCATTGGTCCGCCAGTAGTTAATATTACTTTATACAAGCAGCGTAAATTTTTATGCATCAAAATACTTTAATCAGTATAATGTAATCTCAAAAGGTCACATGACTCTTGCGATTTATGTAGCCAATTGAGGGAGAAATAAATCAATGAAAAAAATCTGTATGTATTTATTTTTATACTTTTAATGATTGTTATAAGATGAAAGATAGAAATGTTGAAAGCGTTTTCGCGCTTTTAAAAGGAAATATTAGGCTTCAAAAGACCAATTAAGTTGCAGTAAAATAGCAAATTGAGTTGGCAGTTTTAAAATGACAAAACCTTTTCTCCTATAGGCCTGACAATATCAATTTTCCGTAATATCAACATGTTTTAAGTTTGATAAGCTTTTCAAGTTAACATCAGTAAGAGAGGCAATGATGTTATAAAAAAATAGTATCGTATTCATAAAAATAATATTATAAAGGAAAAAAAACAACTTTTTTATTTCTTCAACAAGTAATATTGAAGAAACGTAACTTGACACAATTTTTGACTATGATAATGGCAAATAGTAGTTTTTAATGTTTAATTTTCAAAGTTATACTTCTATAGGTGCGTTATGTGAAGGGGTAAACCATCGATTTCAGATTTTGTATGTTTCTCCCCCTTCCCTTTCCCCTCGTGACGTACTTCCGGTCCCCTCCGCACTACACAATAATACAACCACACCACACTACTAGAGCACATTTATTTGATAAATTAGTTTTCATACATCACATAGTTAATGGGGAAAATATTCTGAGGTGAGAGGAGCACAAATATATAAAGCAACGCAGGCAATAATTTTTTTCATATGCATGTACTTACGTACATGCTTTTGCGTATACTTGACCCCTTTTTTCTGGTGTTATTACAAAAATAACAACTTGTACATCTATTCGATTACTAATTAGATTTATTTAAAAGTAATTTTTCATACAAATAAAAAATGCATGTAATATTGAGATTTGTTTAAAAAAGCATATAAAAAACAGAACACAGTAAAATGAGCTAAACATTTTTGTGGGTATTTCTTATGCTGTTTTGAACATTTATATATTGAACGTTGGATGTTTAAATAATACTTTTGAAAAAACCTATGAGTGATAAACGCTGAAGGAATATTCACTGGCATGTCATACTACTTTATTGAAGAGAGCGAAACCACATGTACAGAATTTTAAGTCTCGAAGTTAAAAAAGTAATAACTTATTCCAACATAGACTTTCTTAAAAATGATGAACAATTCTGATCATGGATAATTACTGAACGTAGTACTTAGTTAATCTTCAATGAAAACAAAGGTTTTCAAGGTTAAATCTTTTTCAATTTAGAAAGTAAATCGTGTTATCTTCCACTATCAAGTTTTGTCTAAATCAAATGTATCTCTCAAAAATCAAATATTGAAAAATTGCGTTTTTGGCTAAACCACTATTTACACGATCATTGCAAGTTGGCGGTTAAAACTAAACGGATCTATGATTTTTAAATTGTCTCACATTATGTAACTGTTTTTTATAGTTCTTGTTTTATTCAACGAATTCTCATAAATTTATCTTAGTATGAATAGCATTATTACTTTATTAAGGAAGCAATACAGTCTAAAAATTATAATAAAAATAAAAACATGTATCTTCCTTTTAGGATGTCTCTTTTGACAGTTAGTAGAACAGTTAATTGTGCGCTTAAGCTTGAGACAAATACAGCAAACTTCTATTATCAGTTATGGATTAAATATAGAGGCTCACAAGTAAACAAGACTAAATGACATACTAAGCGGTGTACA